TAATCAGTCTATGAAGAAGGACAGAGGGAGGCACATTTAAGGCGATAAAGTTCAGAATGAGCGCACCAAGATTACTGTAATCCGAACGTAAGTTTCTTTTTGATGGTTTCCTGTTCTGATAACCTCACAAATAAAGCGTGCAAATCATTTATGAGAGTGACCTCTGGACTAAAATTGGTCGGAATAATTCCATATGGTCCTGTGGTCATATTCGATTGAAATAGTTCGATCTCACGTTCGAATTCCGCGATAGAGTGGACTGCTAAAGCAGCAAGACGGTCGCTGATGGGCGGCGAATCTGATAATTCTGAAGGGTTAAATTGCATCGCAGTGTTTAGCCCGACGCTCCAATCGTTTCGACAGGCTGTGGATAGGGCGTTTTTTCTCCTCACTGCCGGATGAAATGGAATCACTTCAGATGGTTACCAACATTAGTGACCGCTTTCGTCGCCGATGCACGATGGCAATAGACTTTGAGATTTCTCTACAGCGGCATGAAATTTTGCCCTCAGATCTTAAGGATTTTTTGCCGTATTCGTTTCCAACGGAATGTGTCGACAAGCATCGAGAAGCACTACGGAACGCGTAGACCCGTTGCTTAGGTTGATAATTGAATTTGCCGCAAAAAGACCTACCTGATGCTAGTTACCTCTGCCGAACAGGCAATCAGTGAACTTCAACTGGGATCAGTGAGTGTTTTACTAGTCAGGCTATCAACTCACTTTGATACGCGTTAGGAACATTCGAATTCGCTAGTTAGCAGACGTCAATGCAATCACAGTGTCTTCCCCAGTGTTCACCGGAACGTACCCACAGATTGACACATGCAAGTGTATGGTCCGAGACCACACTTGTGCTGTAAACCGAGAGACGGTTTTGGACATAATACCTTCAAAGGCAGTGGGTTCGAGCTCTCAATGAACAGAAGGATGTTGACGTGGTGTACATCGACTTTAGTAAGGCGTTTGACAGAGTGAACCACGAGGTACTCCTTCGTAAACTGAGGACATACGGAATCGGTGGCACGTTACTTCAGTGGATACAAGAGTTTATTGTGGGACGAAGGTTTAGAGTACAGGTCAACGACTATCTGACAGAATGGTTCCCATCGACCAGTGGCGTGCCTCAAGGAACTGTACTTGGGCCAGCATTATTTCTTATTCATATCAACGATCTTCCGCAGCAGCTCCAGTCACCATGTGTCCTGTTTGCAGATGATTTGAAAATCTGGAGGATCATTGAAAACCAGGACGACTGCGCTCGCCTCCAGCATGACTTAGAGCGACTGTCAACGTGGTCCACTGAAATGCAACTCCCTCTTAACGCAAGCAAGTCGGAGTTCATCAGTATCACCAGACGTCCAGCCACTCGATCATATACCTTGGATGGCCAGTTGCTCCATCCCAACACATCTGTCAGAGACTTAGGAGTTCTCTCACGACATGATTTAAGATCACTAGAAAATACGGAGAAATTGTACCGTGCGGGACTTCGTATGCTCTGGGCATTACGACGCAGTTTCTCCACATGGTCCCAAGAAACCGTCCCTCGTCTATTCATCTCGCTCATTAGACCAATCCTTGAATACGGTGCCCCAGCTTACCATCCGATAACCCAATGGGAAACTGAAAAGCTGGAGAAAATACAGCATATCGCAACTAGAATGATACCAAGTCTACGAAAGCTTCCATATGAAAAACGTTGTGAAAAGCTCGGACTCTACACACTATCCTATCGCCGAGTAAGAATTGATCTTATTATGACCCATCGAGTACTACACTTGAATCACTTCCCCATACTACGGCCAATATTTCACCTGCGAGAACCCTGTAACACCCGAGGACATCGTTACAAACTCAGGGTCCCAAGTATGAACAAAGTATCACATCAGCTTTGTATCGAACGAAGAATCGTAAACTTATGGAATACACTACCAGAAGGATTAATAGAAGCCGATTCTGTGAAGTGTTTTAAAACCCGTATCGACGATTATTTTGGAAACCTGTGCTTTTGTGAAACGATGCACATACAGTGCCAAAAGAAGACATTGTATGTCCGGAAAAAATGACGCTAGTACAAATTTCTAACCGAACACGGATAAACGATTAACGGACCAGACACAACTGCTGATAATTCACAAGTAAATTTTGATTTTTCGTAATTCGATAGAGTTGTACAGAAACCTTTCTACTTGCTCTTAAATACAGTCTCAGTCTCTCAGTCTCATGTTGTGATCGATCTCCATGCATAGCTATTCCGAGGTTAGTGGGCACTATACAACCCTGTAGTGGGTGCATATCGCAAGTTGACGCTGATAAAGGAGCCTCATCACACAAGTGCAGCAACTTATCGTCCCTATCATTATGGGAGACTAAATAGTGGTAGTTGTCCAGATGGAGCTAAGCATATAAGAATATTCCAACACACAGCGCCCATACATCATTTGAGACGAAAGAGGTCGTTAAGTTGACGATAGACGACATATTTCACGAAGTCAGTGCTACAGTTCTCGAGAGCGAAGGTAGTAATGACAAACAAATACCTATGAGGCCAGCGCGATTTTGAGGCTTGGACGAGGCATAAAACTTGACAGTGCACATCCGGCTAGTGATTGTAATCCAGTCAATTAGATTAGCCAGAGTGCGGGGTTGAGAACAATACCCACATCGACTGAGCGGCATTTGTAGGTGTACTATGTCTGGAAAGAAGCAGTGAGAAAGTATCGACAATGAAAGAGACCACAGGAAAAACGTAGAGTCTTGCAGGCGCGTTCCGATGAACAGCAGATATCGGTCGATAGAGCCTCTAATGTTCTAGAAAGTTGACAGAGTTGCAACAAGATGGGAACTATGAGGCATATCAATTATCGGAGATCGAAGGTTCCAAATGGAGGCCGTTAAACAGCGATCTTCGTCTATATGTTGGGTATAGACTTGTCGATGCAACAAGGGTAACGCTCAGTGACTGTAAGCAGATCAAAAGTATAAGACAAATACAAACCAAAGCAAAATGAAAGAGGACAAATAATTAGTAGGGGGCTAGAAAGAGAGCGATAACAGTGAAGTTGTGATAGGAGGATAGGGAAGAAAGAGCCTAGGAAGGAGGATAAAAAACAGAAAGGTGTAATTAATTACATATTAACCCATACCCACTCCGCCCATGATTACCCGCTGTGACGGCCAGGACATGAAGAAATTGCTTAATAAATTTCTGTTGTAATGCAAGAACAAACTACTGTCAGGTCGCACAAACATAGGCAGAACGATTAGGGATCTCAAATAGAGCATTTGGTTTAAAAAGTTGACCACAAGCCAGTGGGAGTCTGACACAGCTAGAAGAAACAAGGAGCCATCGTCATTCTAACCGCCTAGCCCGAGGGCCAAGAAACTGTCTCTCCAGCCCTTGCCAGGTCAGGTGGTTCGGGTGCACCACGAAATGTAGCAGTTTATTGGCCGCGCCAAGTTTAAGTCCCGTATCGCAACGACGATACGGAAGATGAGAAACATAGAGGAGAAATCCAGAGAGCATAACGGATACATACAGAGATTTCATAAATAGAATTGTTAATAGAACTCGGTATATTTCAAATAGGAACGGTATAGGAATAATGTTAATGGCAGCACGAAACGGAGATAGTTACGGTGGAGACTAAGTATTTATGCCCATAGGATATCTCCTTGCGCAAAACAAAATTGGTGGTGTGATCGGTGAGCATAAAGACATGAGCTAAGGATATATCAAAGAAGTTTTGAAAGGTATGTGAGGGCACATTGTCTGAATTTAGGGAGATCTCTGCTTCGGTGGTATTTACATTGTGGTCCGGAGGGAGTATAGCCACATAACAAGCAAAGTTGTCTTTCCATGTTAGACCATGCTAGAAATACTTGTGAATAAATCCCTAACCGAAGCCCATTTGCTTCAATAGGGGTATCAATCCGACAAACGTATATTGTTTCGTACTGTGCTCTCCACTTGACAGCGTTCAAATAATTTCCTGACGCATACAAACCATTGCGAGCTTTCGCCACGACTTACCAGGCCGCGTCAGGCAGCATTTGCTGTTTAGCTAGGTTCGATTGTAAACGGAGTGATCGCAAGTCCTGGGGGGGCAATCTGAATGACCGGACAGTGTTCATGAATAGGCTTAAATTAAAAAGGTACACACTGGGTTTTGGTACCCAAAGCAATACTTGGGTTTTAACCAGAACTGAAAAACATGTCGTTAATGGAAGATTTTTTTAAGGAATCGTAAGCGACATGTCGATAGGGATGAAACAGCTAGCTAGTTGGTGACATACTCAAATTTGCGGATAAAGCACGTTAGATTAAAAGGAGCCATCTCTGTAGATAATCGACTTGTATTCCGTCGGTTATGCCGTCAGCAAGCCACAAATAGGCGTAAGTCGCCTAAACTGCCTCATTGTAGGTTAAACAAGTTGACTAAATCGCTGTCATTTATCTCCCGAGAACAAATCTAGCCGGTCAGCGTGAAATCGGCTCGGACATCAGTTAATGAATGCGGCCGATGTGAACCAGTCAGTAGGTTATGTGAATCGGCGATCTTTGTGGCTAGACACAGATTGCAAGTCAACTAAATGAATAAATGACGCTGTGTGGTTTGAACTGAAAACGGAGATTTGTTTACCTTACTGTAGACGTTAACCGGAGGCTAGAACCTTGTCAAGACATTAGGACGGACTGGCATTTTGGCACATCAACGGCCTGAGAAACAGTTTAGAACGATGGCCTTGTCCCCAAAATCCGTCAAATCTAGGGTCTACTGTGCACAAGGCTGAATATGAGATGCACTTATTTCACAAAAATTGTTGTTGTACCTCGGATAACAAACGTTTCGACACAATCATCAGACATGTTATAAACAAACAAAAAAGGAATTTTTGAACGATATTTCCTCCTAATCTCAAAGTTACACAAGTAAAGTTGACATTTTGCAAGTAAACCAACTTTTGTATCACAAAATATGGTATTATGAGGCTCACCGTGAGTGCCATCGGATCCTTCCACTTGATGTATCCCCAATTCTTTCAGTGGTGGTTGCCGAACAGTGACAGCTGCTGCAGCGGCTACCGATGGCCAGGAGACAGGCTTCTTCGCTATGGGACCATCCGGATGAAGAGAGTGGCTATGAAATAGCGTAGCGTTGATAAAATTAGCAGCAGCGCCGCTAGCTAGGCCCATCCCGATTCCCATTGCAAGTCCCGGAGACCCTCGATGGGCAGATGCCCGATTGTCATGTGCGTCCGAGTGGAACAATTGCTTATTCGATACAACCAACGAAGGATGTACGGGTCGTGGCCGCGGCGATAACCCGGCGGCGAGTGCTGCCATTGCGACAGCTTGCGCCGCTCCCACATTCAGGTGAGGCCTATGTGGCGTGTGTTGAGAAGTTACATCGGGGACGGTTACGCGTAGACTCTGTCTCTCATCCTCTTCTGTTAACAAACTATGTCTGTAATCATCCTTGTTGTAGCCATAGTGAGGGTTCGTTGTCTCTACCCTGTCGCCATGTGAGGAGATCTGGAGTGAGTTGAACTCGCTACCGAGGCTCCCGCCTCCGTAGTGTGCTCCGGTAAGGCCGAGCTCATTTTCCATGGGCACCCCGTTCTCTGTCGCCCAACCAGCCGCTCGTGCTCCAGTTAGAGCGCTGATTTCTTGGCTAGTGAAGCCTGCATTGAGCGCGGACTGAGGGTAAGATTAGGAAACATATGCAATATTGATAAGATCTCTACTTACTTTACAAGTAGGCGGAAAGAGAGGGTTTTTAAGTAAGGAGGATGAGACAAAGTTGTATACAGCGTTTGTGGTTTCAGATAACTCCTTAATTATATAAAATAGTGGATGGTTGTTTGACCAAGCGTTTGCCTGACAATTTACTAGGAATCAAAAACCGTTGTCATACATGCAAATCTTCTTAACATATCCGAATACTTTATTCGTGGAGAGCTGTGATCTATAGTTGATTCTGAAAAGCGGAATGATCACTAAACGACCAATACAGAAATACGCGCAACCCTGTGGTATAAAATCCGCTTAAGATCTTCCTTATAAGTAAAAGGATGGACGATCCCGAGTATCGTTTATCTTTATGTAAACGGTGTTCAGCCACTTAAGGGCCAGAATACCGTGCCCAAGGATAGGAGGATTGTGTGGGAAGGAAAAGCGGGAAATTTCGAACTATATACACAAAGTAACCATACTTATGAGTGCTGCAGATGAGTACAGTAAGTAATAGAGGTTTATATGAAACCCGTTGGGCGTGGCGCCTCCACAACTTACATTTGTTGTGGTATCTGCCGTTGTGATAACGAGGACGCGTGACACGAAAATCGTTACGGTCAGAAACCGCAAACACACTGTGGAATTTCTGTAGCGAAAGCGGTATATCCGGTATCCGGAAAATGGTATCCAACTCACGGACATCGATCGCTTATTCTCACATTCCTACCGATAACAAACAGTCAATAATTCTGCGGCACCTTCAAAAATACAAGCTACATTCATAGACAATTACATACATATATACACCCATATACTTACGTTCACTGTTATGCCAAACATGTACTCTGTACATTTTGATCACACTATGTTAGCTATCATGATCATGCCTGTACTGGTGTGTCTCGCATTGTCGAGAATAAACGTTTATTTATTTATTTATTTACAATAAATATATGACTGTATGCTAGTCTTATCAGGTTTATTTCACTCACCTTTGTCACCACACTCAGACCCGGATGCCCTGGAGTCATGGGGACCAGTGGCCGGTCTGAATCGAGTTCACCAGAGTCCGTGCCGAGTATGCGTTCAGCTTTAGTTTGTTCCGTGATAGGGTGGGTAGCGAACCAATAGTTTTCCAAATATTGGCGGAGTGCCTCTGTCGCAGCACCCAAGGTGTTTTGGTCCACTATGAAGTCGAAAGCATCCTGAAATAAGTAAAAATAAACAGCACCATAATGTTAAGGTTAACTCGACAGTTCTAACCAGTCTAGGCAATGCAGAGTGGCTCTGTTGCATACTCTGAACCCCCCCCCCACCCCACTACAGAAATGGAATAGATCCAATAAGCATGGCTTTGAGACATCCGTGCAGAGACTAACCGTATACTTAACTTACGCGAGCATGGCATTAATTTATTCGATTGAGCAGATGCATGTAATGTAATGTAAGAAAGTACAGCGAATAACAATCATGCAGACGTGACGGTGATACATAGCTCAGTTCCCGTTCGGCTGTTAGACATGTCGTGTTGCCAACCGGAGATCATGGAACAGCCATTAACCGATCACACATCAACTACTCAAACATGCCGGTGATAATAGGCTCCATACTAAAATATGTAGTGTTGTTAGCCCGAGACCCTGGAACAGCTACTGACAATCGCATGGAAATTGTGTAGACATGCAAGGTCATGATATACGATGCTTTCCTCCATTGGTCAAATGTGATACCCTAGGGATATAATGCATATTGGTGATGCAATCAGGTTCTTGATAAGAGCACAAATGGAATTCTCACGCATTCAGGAGATAGGAAACAATGTATACGAAGTATAACTGAAACAGAGTATCGTATCCAATCGTCGCGTTGTTTAATTACTTCCAGCTCTCAACACATTTGCACAACATTTGGCCGTGTCGTAAGGTAAAACCAGAGCCGATTCTAATCGTCTGTTGTCCGAGGTAAGCGAGAATCAACAGGGAGGTAGAACCACCAAGCAGTCCGTCATGTGTTACTATTTATTTCCCCCTAGTTATTCGTTCGGACCGCTAACATATCTCGACCAATTCATCAGTGTCTAGAATACTACCTATGCCTATGCATTTCGATTCGGATGTTACAACGTATTGCCGCTGCTCCGGGAATCAACCTAGATGACTTGTCTGAATCTCAGTGCGTTTACCTGAAGGCGGCAGCAGTACAATGGGATACACTGACTTCATATTGCAACCCCTAATAAGTCACGGTGTCACACGAGAAGAAATGTAATAACATCCATCTGTCAAGTGGGAATGTATCGAAACACGAACAGATGTTAGCGGGATTTATACTTTAGGCGAGTCCCATTTAGACATCGAGCCAGCAGATAATGGTGTTACGCGAGTGAAAATGCCATCAGTCTGTCAGGCTGAAGTGTGGTGCTTATAATGGTTTCTAAATGGCTTCCACTTAGTCATTCAACGTGAGATATCAGTTGACATACCAAAGGTCCCTGGTTCGAGTTACAGTACTGCAGTGTTGTGAACGGGTATTTGTTAACACTTGTGTATGGACTACCACAAACTGGAGGAAGAAATAATAACCGTCATGAACCATAGCACAACGTACGTGCATGAGTTTGGATTGAATGAAAGAAGAACAGCCATATTGCTCTAGTTTTAGAAAATCGCAAGTAGAATTATAAGTAACCAATACGACTGTCAGTGGTTAGTTAGCGTTCGGAAGAGAACCGAAACGACAGCCTTAAGTTTAGTCAGAAGTGTGGGTATCAACAATAGATTGAGACAGATATGGGAATACGGAAACAAATGCTGTGAGTATGGTTACCAGGTAAAATGATGCATAACTAGATGTACTAAATGCACATGTGGAAAAGTCCGCTGCTCCCTGTTCTATCATCGGCTTTTGAAAGAGTGCGCAAACTGGTTTAGCAAACTTACAAGAAGTACCTTGCACAACATTTAATTATCTAATATCTCAAATGAGTATGTCGTGGCACACCTGGGCATGATGTTATCTTCACAACGGGATTTGGAATGGAACCACTTAGACATGGCTGAGAAAGCAATGAACCAGTAAATTTCCGTACTCATGGTGTGATTTGCAATGAAAACAGTGAGCGTTGCATAGTTAATCATATGAGGGTAGACAAATAATGGGTATCAGGGGCCTCGGCAAATGGCGCAGATAAGGTGGTTAACTGAACGTATGATATTCCCATGCGAACTGGATTTCTCACCATAATTTTACCACTTACAATTGACTAACAAACGGTCAGCATACACCTGAGTTGCAGCTATTCTTTGCAACAAATCAATTGTTGTTGTGCTGAATTTATTTTCCAATTAAATATTTAGTTACACACTACCGTAACACCATAGTTGGGCTAATCTATTTTTAAGTCAATCTGCATGATTGGTCATTTCTAATCTAAATTGTCGAAGGAACGTTTGCTCTTCCGCACCTTATCTCGATAATAGCTGACTTATCCTAACTTCAGTATGAGCGATGTTCAGCTGGAAATATAGCTACAGTCATTATTGTGACTAATATATGAAACAGAACATGTAGCATCAACATCAGCATGTTAATCGCTAGTCAGTGACTTGCCAGGATTATTCAGCTTACACGGATGAGCCAACGTGTGGACACTTGCAACAAAAGTTGATGCGTCTTGAACACCGATTTTCCAAACTGCATTCCAAAGCGAGGTAGGGTTGTAGAGTACATGAATTCCAGGGATAATTGTTGATCACTACACCCAATCGTTCAATCCAATGTTCGAACGAGTGTGGAAGATTATGAGCAGCAACCGCTTGGTACCCAGGAGTTAACGCGACCCATGCTCTTAGGCTTATTTAACTCGGTTGTACTTCGCGATGACTTCACATGTTGCTCATTACGATATTGTACTCATCATGATCTATGCTATGCTATTCTTGCTACCTTCTCAAGCGGCGTCTAGTATGGTTACATACCGAGAGTGAGCTATGACATCTTCATTTTCGTATTATTATTCAGCCGTGATTCATATCACTATGTCTGGTCCATGGTATTGCTAACCATAACTGTAGCTTGACTAGCTGCGCAATGCTAACTTGCCTGATGCTTAGAGAGCCGGTGCGTCGCAGAATAATGGTTCAGTCCATCCATGAGCTCATTCGTAATTGATGTGAGTGCGGTATTTCCGAGCGATTTGTGTGCTTGCTACGGATCAATGCTAAGGTGGCAAATTATTGTGTATGTTTCCAGTTCGATGGATACGTTTGAATCAAAAGGTTATCATCACTTGGCCGTTTACAGTACGCATAAAATATCAAATTTGACATTTGTAACACAATGCTCAACAATTGTCCTTCGTGTGACAACTTTGGATTATGCATTCGAAGAGAAATTCCCCTGGAAAATCTGTGTCAAGTGAACAATCCCGACAATTAACCGACTAGCAATCATCACGATATTGCCATTCCATGTTCCACTCCGCAGGCTAGTGATGAGAGTGAGCATAGTTATAGTTCCAGTTATCCCTCAGCCATACTGAATTTACCGGGGGCCTATGAAAACACACGTATTAACCGGATGGAAGGCAGACGTGCAGAGACGCCTACCAGAAGTTGCATTGCATATGGCCAATCATTTGAATGGATTAAGTAAAAGGTTGCATCTAACGGGAATGGTACGTCAGTGTGTTATTATATAACATCGGAAATGAATCGGCGCATAGCGACAATGGTTTTATGAGTACCGAATGGGCTGCACCTGGAACGTATGATATAGACCGTTAGCAAATAGCTTATGGCCACAGTAGAGTACAGGTCGGTAGGTATAACCGGTTAAGTATTTGGACATTTGCACAATAAATGTGGACACTGTTTGGAAAGTCGCATGTTTGACAGTGGGCAGCGGGACTTAGTTGATGTCACTTGTCAATACCAAAGGTTGCGCATTAATCGTTCTTTGAGTAGGCGCACATGCCTCGGGCAGCACATGACAGAACCGGTCGGAGACACAGAGAGCCAGAAGTGGACACTGTATCGCATTCGCATGCTGTGTGATCTCATACATCAGCTACTCAAACCAGACTGTACATGTAGAGGGCAACACCTAAGTGCACACTATTTCTCTGTACCAATAGTCTAGTCATCATTCTACCTAGCAGTTGCTTTACTATTGCCACATCGGATTCCTTCAAATATGGATGCCCAAGATTTAAGGCAGTCACGTCTAAATGTGGAAGAAAACATCAACCGTTCGTGTTGGGTAGTTATTCTCATACCTGCAAAAGTAGTTGTTAGCCTGACCTCCAAACGAAACCCATACACGTTTGTCGTACCACTGATGATGATGTCTAATGTGTCTCCATCCACTTTGTGACAGCTCACACTTAAGTTTGCATAAACGCATGTGCATATGTTGCATTCGAACTGCCATTGGATAAAGATGACGCCAATCTATGTATATATGTATACCGAATGAATTCCACGAGGATCTTCATATCGCTTTTGTACGGTTAACTTAGTGCAGTAGAACGACATTCGAGCAAACCGAAAATAATATTACCAGGATATGAAGAAGGTGAGTTTATGACAAACTCATATTGATTTCAGGTGTTGCGAATCCAACTCAAATTTTGATCAATGCGAATTCCGTGAACTACCCAAAAGGGCGGTTTCTTAGGTGCCGGAGAAGGCACAATTGTATGCGGAATAGAAACACCATGAGTATGTTCCCATTCAATTTACTAATCCAGGCCAATAAGGCGGCGTATGTGGTACGTTTGCCTGCGTGATGAGTAATCTTGCATTTCAGAAGTAGATGTTGCTTGAGCTCCCCTGTGTGAATGCGCCTGATGTGAATGTTGACAAGGTGCCTACCTGTCTATAACCCACTACCTCGTCCATACTGGCTCCAGGAGACAGTTGGTCGTCGCTGGAGGGGACGGAGTGCACCGTCCTCGTGACGGTGCTAGGCTCAAAGAGTGGTTCCATGCAAAAAGTGTGGAACGGGCTACGGTCCAGCCACCGCCTCGTGTACGTCTGGTGTGCATGATTTCCCAATTAGGCCGGAATGCTTCCGTTCTGCTTGTTGAAGGAGTGTGGGCCGGCTCCGTTGATGAAACGTGGCTCCCATCCGCATGCCTCCCGGTCTTATTCCTTCGGGTTTACACCGGATATGGGGTGTGTGGATGGAACTATGGGTGGTGCAG